TTGTAATTTAACTAACCGATGTAGCCATTAATGCCTTCAATTTTTTGTGTTTTGTTGCTTCTTTTTTTTTTAATTTGTTTCGTTTAATTATATTTATGTTAGATTTTATTCATAACTGCCGAAGAAAGTCGTCAGTATACGTTTTTAATGTTTATTAGTCTTTTTTTAATTTTAATAATATGTGTCTAATTACCAGTGGAAACTTTGCTGATATATGTAATTTTGTATAATTATATCCCATAAGTTTATCTTATTGTTTGTTTCCCTAAAATAAAATAAAATAACATACATACATACATTGCAAGTGAAATAATAACTTGTAAAAGTTTTTGCATTCATTGTATATATAAGAAACAGTCATGACGGGCAGACGAGAAGTGTATGATATAAAATATATTATATTGATAATAAATTTCTGAATTTAATTTCGTAGCAACCCAAGTGCGAACTTGCACTAAATACTTTATGATCTCTCAGTAAAACATAAAATCTGGACCACATTATGTACAGATTGTAAGTTCTAATCTTATTAAATGTATGTAATACATCTATCACCCTTAGCGTGGTTACACCATTCAATAATATTATATAATAAGTTTGACATCACCAACCCGTCTTGAGCGAGTGATTAATGTTCTAACCTTCTCCATGTGAGAAGAGACTCAGCAGTGGGCTCTGATAGGATGATGATGATGGAAACATCTCATATAATCTCCTATATTATGAATATGCATTGAATATATTCATATAATTATGATTTCCCAGGTCGGTGGTAAAAGCCAAAGCGAGTTTGGCGGAGGTGTAGCGAGCTCTGAACATCACCGAGCTGGGTTCAGACTTGAGATCCTGCACGAGACTGCTGCTACTACACCAGGTGGTTACATCACATACTAGCTGTTTACTGCGACTTCATGCGTGTATTAGGAATTACTCAGATGGTGATTAATGTGTATCTAATATAATGGATGTCATTGTGAGGTCTAAATTGCTTTATAGAAGAGTTTTATCAAAATTAGTTAGGATAATTTACTTGTAAGACCAACATATATCCATACATACCTACTAGATATACTATATAAGTACATGTATATAGTATTGCTTTTCAAATTATTATCTGTCGTAGTTATGCCAGCTAACTGATATAATTTGTGGTAACTGTCAGTGTGAGAGTGGTGATGTAGTTTTAAAGATTTCTTTTTTTGGCTAAGATTATTTTTATAAAATCAAAGTGTAAAGAGCTTATTGCTGGTGCTTTAATAACTAGATTTAAACTAAGGGCTCCTCAGATGAGAAAACAATTTGTTTTAAAGTAAAACAAGTAGAGTTATATTGTTTAGAAATGTGTATTGATAAAAACAATTATTGTTTACAGAAAAATGCGATTTCGTCCTTGTTGTATTTACTAGAACATAATATATCTATATTTATACAATATTCAATAGTGACATAAATGTCTACAGGCTCTGGAACAAGAGTTGAGTCAATGCGAACAACGAGCGGAGTCCTTTGCAGCCCAGGGCTCCGACCTGGTCTCCAGTGGTCACTTCGACCACTGGAGACCAGGCGCTGCTGCAGGCCGCCCGGGCGCTCCGCCCTCGAGCGGCCGAGAGGAGACAGGCGCTGGAAACTAGTCTACAGTCAGTATACGATATAACTAAAACAAAATATGATTCAATACAATATTATATAAGAAATGATTAACGGTTGATGGAACAATATATATATACATATGTAATACATATTACATATATATATATATATATATATATATATATATATATATATATATATATATATATATATATGTATAACTAGAAGACCTGGCGAACTTCGTATCGCCCTATAATCAAAAAATGTGTATTACGTTTTTTTATTTATATTTTTGGAGTTTACCTCTAAGCCATAAATCTCCGTGATTTGAAGTGCGACAGAATGATTGACATATTAGTTAGTTGTCAAATCTAATGTCAAAAAAAATTGTATGGGAAATAGAAAAGGGCTGTTTTTATGATTTTCCCAGTAATTAATAAATTTTTTTCAGCTTTTATACCTATCCTGAACCTCCACGAACATTTCAAGACTAAGATAAGATAAATCCGTTCAGCCGTTCTCGAGTTTTAGCGAGACTAAGGAACAGCAATCCATTTTTATATATATAGAAGATTGAGCCGGGACCGGTATAAAGATTAAAATATTTACTGTAAAGGGCCATAGATCTATTTTAAATTTATTAAAGTTATTTAATTTTAAATGTATTAAAGTTATTTAACTGGATAAGGATTCTCCCCTTATTTATGGATATCATTATATATACAAACTTTCCTCTTCAAACAATCTACCTTTTAAAAAAAACTGCACCAAATCCACTGCGTAGTTTTAAGTTATTAAGAATGCATACGGATATAGGGACAAGAAAAGCAACTGTTTTATAATTTATACCATATTAGCTGCGCCCCGCGGTTTTACCCGCGGATTTCCGAGATTTCCGGGATATAAAGTAGCCTATGTGTTATTCCTGGACGTCAGCTTCCTGTACACAAAATTTTATCAAAATCGGTTCAGCCGTTTGTGCGCAAAGAAGTAACAAACATACATTTTCCTGTTTATTCATTAGTCTTAAATTGTACCTAAATAATGTAGCACCTGACAAAAATATTGTTTTTGTAATGATTATGCTGTGACACATACTTAGGAATATAATCAAGCTAAAAATAATTTTAGACTGTAACTCATATGTAATCCGGATTATATTCTGTTGTGTGCCTAAATAAATAAATAAATACATAAACACTCACAAGCTTTCGCAATTATAATATTAGTAGTATAGTGATAGTACATAATCAATTTGAGGACTAATTTTATTCATCCAAATCTTCCACAGACTACACAAGTACGCTGCCGAGGTTTCAGGAGAGCTAGCTTGGGTGCGCCAGGCCGCCGCTTCATCTGCCACGCGCAGAAGAAACACGCCAAGCTGAGGGCGGAGCTGGAGGGGTGGAGGCCTGTCGTGGAGAGGGTGCTCCAACGGGGCAAGGAGCTGGACACGCATCCACAGGCGGGGAAGGTATATATATATATATATATATATATATATATATATATATATATATATAACTCACATTCTCATTATATGTACCATTGTATTTGTAGTGATTATATGTAGGTATTTATTTCTAAGAGAGACACACGCGTCCGTTCGATAGTGCAGAACTGACGCATAGTAAAAAACCTCCATCCTACCAACGTCATAGTATCATAGTTAAATTCATTCTGGATCTCCACACCATACCTTGGTTCATCTGAAATATTATATACAGCATGCATAATTAAATTATTCTTGGACAAAGTTCGGCTAATACTTGAATTTTTTTAATATTTTTTGAGTGGATTCTTGAAGTAAAACTTCTTATGCGACTACCAACAAGGTTGCGTTAAACGTTCAACGAAGGGAAAGAAAGATACACAAATGTAGAAAGTAGGAGAGAGATTGAGAGTAGATTCCAAGCACATGTGCATAGTACTGTTGCTTACAGCGAAGTAAACAGTGTGAACGCGACATTAACTGAAACACCAATTTGTATTATATTAATTTATGTATATACATATAATTCATTTCCTCAGTCAGTTGTGGCCTAGTGGTTAAAAGTCCCGCCTCTCATGCATGAGGGCGCGGGTTCGGTCCTGGCAAGTACCAATGTGATTTTTCCGAGTCATATGTACTTTATAAGAGTATTTAGACATCACTGATTAATGCATTCCAAAAGAGGGTTGATGTCAGGCAGGCGTCCGGTCGTAAAAACAATTAGGCAAAACTATTCACACATCTTAGGCAGACCCTGGCTAAAGCAGGGAAATTGCCAGGAAGAAGAAGATTAATTTATGCATATACATATAATTTATTTCCCTACTCCACTCACTAAACTATATCGATCACATTCCAGATCAAGCAGCTGTGCCAGGAGCTTGAAGAGGCGTACTCCTCTGTATTATCGGCGGCGGAGGAGCGCGCGGCCCGGCTGGAGGCGGCGCTCAAGGCCCAGTAGTTCCTGCATGACGCAGCGGAAGTCGACTCCTGTCTGGCTGACAAGGCCGCCGCACTGGCTTCCGGTGACGTCGGCAATGATATGCATAGAGCGACGCAACTACTCACACGGCATAAGGTAATATATATATATATATACATATACATAGCTAAGAATTAAATTTTCGTCATATCACAAAATTTTTGAGCTATAAGCAATGTATGATAAATCACTATATATACATATATGTAAGTCATCAAGTGACTTATGAAGTGAAAATTTATCAGTTATTGAGTAGGATCAAATATTTATAAAACATATATTAAAAATAGGGGTTGGTGATAGAAGAGTGATAATTTAGGGTTGTATGTATTTTATAATGCCACATTATGAAAGGTTGTCCAAAAAAAATTAAATAAGGTGTTAAAAGTGGGCCGCCCTTATACTTAGGGGTATGAAATATAGACAGTAGCCAATTGTTAAAATTATTGAATATGCATATAAAGTTTCATAAAAATCGGTTAAGCCGTTTGGCAGGAGTATGACATCTAACATATATACAGGGTGACTGGTGAATTACTATCGATATTTGAGGACGTGATTTGTGACGATCATATATGACAAAATAAAAATTAATATAACATAAATATTAATAAACTTCTAAGTAAAGTTAACCAAAAGTTATGTAATTAATTACGCATCGTGTGAACATCCTACAGATATATGTATATATATATATATATATATATATATATATATATATATATATATATATATATATATATATATATATGGACTTAAATCAGAAGAAGTTGTCATTATTTAAATTTCTAACACTTTCAATTAACAGAAATATAATAATACAGAGTATATTCAGCATTATCTTACAATTCCTCTTTAACCTACCAACAGGCCGTAGAACTCGAGTTGGACACATACGCGGCGATCATAGCGGAAATGGGTCACGTGGCGCAATCCATGGCTTCCGGTGGTCATCCTGAGGGAGCGGCGCTGGTCACCAGACATGACCAGCTGGCTGGCAGTCTGGCTAGGCTGCAGAGACTGGCTGCGAGCAGGCAGGCCGCGCTAATGGAGAGTGTGTGCAGGTGAGAGATACTATATATATATATATATATATATACACATATCATATTCGTCGCACTACTTGTAAATTTGTTTCGAGGTAGTTTAGAAACAGGAGACTGACGTAGCATACTTTTCATTAAGTGAGGTCGAAATTTAAATAAATAACTACTTAACAAAGACTTGTTATTTACTGCTTCTTAAGCGTTACACAGTAACGCCTTTCTATTCCTGAAGTTGACTATGAAGAAGTTGCTGACAAAGACTAGTATATGTGTGTTATAGGAATATATAAATAGGATATCCTCTAAAAATATGTGTGTCTATCCTTAGACATGAATATCTGGCTGAGAGCGCTGAGTTGGAGGAATGGGTTGCAACAACATTTTTGGAAGTGAATTGTGTGTGTGTGTGTGAGTTCAACCATTAGATCAAACAATTAGCATGTCATAATATTAAATATACCTAAAGTTTTACAGCTTAATTAAAATATCCTCCTAAACCATTTAATTATATCTATAATCTAAGACATCATATTTCCCAACCACAGATTCTTAGGTCCAAGTTCGAAGAGCTCCGTCACCGTGTAGAGAGTGGGGCGCAGAGGTTCAACCAGTGTGAGGAGCTGGCCAAGAAGCTGGTCGCCTCAGACAGCCCATACATCGCTGACATTGAAAAGTGACAGGAAGTACTCGGGTGAGGAGAACTTGGGAAATGACCCTTAATTACATAACATATAGGATCTAATTCAGATATCCAATATGTCCACATAAACTTATACCAAACAAAATTAGCTTTAACCATACATACAGATATAGAATCTAAATAAGACATTCCACAAATGCAAATTAATTTGTACTAGTTAAAATGACACGTAATGACTAGATATAGAATTTAATTTAGACAAAGAAAACTGAGACTTAATTACATACACATAGAATCTAATTAACAAATTCCACATGTCGTTTAAAACAAGGCAAAATGAATTTTAATAATATATTTATAAGATCTAATTTACATAATCCACAACTCAAATACAATTCATACATTCCAGCGAGTCCTGGCAGCGTCTGGTCAGCATAGAACAGATCCAGTCCTGCAGCCAGCGCCTGGTTGCTGCTGGCGAGATACACCGCTTCCACCGCGACGCCGGGGACCTGCTGGCGCGGGCCGGGGAGCGCGACCACCGCCCTCTTGAGGGACCACGACGCAGCCGAGAACGATATGGTCGCTATAGACGCGCAGATGCAGGTACTACAAAACAATTATTATGGTTAAAGATACTTTATTTTTCTCAAAAAGAAATTACATTTCACTTACTTGAGAAAATTATGACGATAAACATATTATGTATTTTAAATTAAAACTTCGACAATCATAATAAATGTATCACTAGGTAGTTTAACATATTCTTACAATAAATTTTGCTTTAAATATGAAATTTAAAATATACACCCTCAAAGCAACAATAATTGTGTACAAAACAGTGATAAGAAATGCAAACTCATAGACACAGAATGACTATTACGATTGACTTATAATGAAATTTAAGATTTTAAACTGAAACTAATATTTTTTGGATGAACGTTTTGATAAAAATTATTATTTCCGATGTTTCGTTTCGACGACATGATAAATATTAGTTTCATTTAAATGAATACTTGTCAAAATCTATTTCATAATATCATAGCTCCTCATTTAATGTAGCCTAATTCTGCCTAAATAAGATTTTAACTGATTTTTGCAGTATTATATACTTGTAGTAATATACTTCCTGGCCCGGGCAAGTACCAATGTGATTTTTCCGAGTCATATGTACTTTCTAAGAATATTTAGACATCACTGATTAATGCATTCCCAAAGAGGGTTGATGTCAGGCAGGCGGCCTGTCGTAAAAACAATTAGCCAAAACTATTCACAACATGTAAGGTAGACCCTGGCTAAAGCTGGGAAGTTTCCAGGTAGAAGAGATAGTTGTAGTGATATTAAATCTATTTCCAGGTGCTCCAGGAGGAAGGATCTCGCCTCCAGCGGTTATGCCCCGGCGGTAACTCCTAGCCGATAGCGCTGAGCTGCAGATCTTAGGAGGAAACTGCTGCACCAACACCTGGAATTACAGACCTTCCTATCCAAGGTATTACTGTGGGATTTCACTATTATACAAAACCTTTATGATCTGATAGTGTTTTAATCTATTGCTACATTTGATTAATCTTTCTAATTTATATATATTTTTTCTTTATATACTAATTAATTATTAACGATTTTACGCCTATAAATAATGTATCCTTTATGATATTTTATTTCCATTAAGACATTATTATCACTTATATGAGAATTACACTTATAACAAAAAAAATTATGGATATACAGTTCGACATCGCACTTGTAACAAAAATTAAATGAAATAAAGTTTAATTAAGAGATATTTTTCTATATTAAGCACTAATTTAATGGTTGTCTTAGTTTTGATTATTTATTATTTAATATATACTATCTGCACCGCAAACGTTGTTTTGTCATATTAAAAGTAGGGGTTGGTGATAAAAAAATTAATATTTAGGATTTTATGTATTTTCTTTTGCCACTTGATAAAAAAAATAAAAACAAAACCTTTCGTCCAAATCAAAACAAAAATTAGGGGTGAACAGCCCCTATTACTTAGGGTATGAAAAATAGGTATTGGCCGATTCTCAGAGCCTCAGACCTACTCAATATGCTTACAAAATTTGATGAGATTCGGTCAAGCCGTTTCGGAGGAGTACGGGAACGAACATTGTGACACGAGAATTTTATATATAAGTTATATATATCATGAATATCGTTCCCCAGCTCCGTGACGTCATTTCGTGGTCGTCGTCCCTAGCTGCCGCACGCTCAGCACCAGCGGCACGGGTTCAAGGACGTACTGGCCAGGGGGCAGAGGTTACTGGATGAGGAACATCCCAGCTCAGCGGTTAGTACACACTGGAACAATATTATAATATGAAAGACATCTTAGCAATAGTATCTTCTTCTACCTGGCAATTTCCCAGCTTTAGCCAGGGTCTGCCTTGCATGATGTGAATAGTGTTGGTTAACTGTTTTTATGACCGGCCGCCTGCTTGACATCAACCCTCTTTGGGAAGAAAAGTAATATTTTTTGTACTTACTTTACTAAGTGTTTATAGTTATTTTTTTATAACGTACTACCGATATTTTACATGCATCACGAGTAGACATCATAGTGAATACAAAAAATATTAGTTACATTTCAATGATTACCCGCGAAAGTATATCTCATGAGATAAATCTTTTCTGATATGTATAACCACAGGTAATTCTGGTTCATTAATCTCACTAGTTAATACTAATTATTTCCAGGGCCGCGCGGCAGGTGGCGTTGGAGCAGCTGATCGACTGGCACTGCTTCCTGAGAGACGCCAAGCAGATGCATGCTCTGTGTGCGGCGCAGGAGGCAGCACTCGGTTAGTTATATACGGCTCACGAGATAAGGGAGCGAATACAAACATATAGATATAATTTGAAACTTTAACTCGGCTTATAAAGTGGAACTAAAGTATAAATATATTTTATTAGTAAGTTTGATGAATTATTAACAAAGTAAAACATGTATTTGTTATTAGTTATATAAGAATACTAGAAGACCCGGCGAACTTCGTATCGGCCTATAATCAACAAATATCTGTTACGTTTTTTTATTTATATTTTTGGAGTTTCCCTATTAAAGCCATAAATCTCCGTGTTTTGAAGTGCGACAGAATGATTGACATATTAGTTAGTTGTCAAATCTAATGTCAAAAAAAAACGTTTGTTTCAACAACTACTAATAAATAAAAAAATAATTAAAAAAACATTGTCCAGCGGACAAAATTTCCCAGATCCCCTTGAACTCACACAAAAAATTTCATCATACTCGGTCCAGTCTTTTGAGAGAAGTTCAGTGACATACACAATCACAGAAGAATTTATATATAAGATATATATCATGAATATCGTTCCCCAGCTCCGTGACGTCATCTCGTGGTCGTCATCCCCAGCTGCCGCACGCTCAGAGGGCGCACCACGACACGCTGAGGGCGGAGATAGCGGTTAGTACACATTGGAACAATATTATACTATGAAAAACATGTTAGCAATAGTATATTCGATTAAAAGTAATATTTTTTGTATTTATTGTTTATAGTAATTTTTTATAACTTAAATTTTTCAGGTAAAGTTTTACAGTTTCTTTCAATACTAATGTATATTTGTTTTTTTTAATCATTCGAATATAACTTATAGCACGGCTTAAGTGTTTTTCATAATGAATCTAAAACAATTTTAAGAAAATGCTACATCACAATTCAAAGAAATTAATTTAAGATTAGATTAACTCTTAAATATTCCAAATATGTATGATATATCCGTTTTATGTACATATATTAAAAAAATGTGATAATAATTTTGTCTAGGCTAATTGGCTGTATTTTTATTCAGTAGACAGCAAAATCTATTTTAATGAAATTTATTGCGTTAGATGTTAACTCGAACCTACATATGTGTAGATACCTTTTTAGTGTGACTTCTGACCTCATGATATATATATTTTTAAATGTAAATTACAGAATTGTCATTTGTCTCCATCATGGATGCCAGTCTTGGAGTTAAATGTGGAGCAAATAGTCCCAGAAGTAGTTCATAAGGACTTTCGGCTGTGACTCACATCAACACCTTCACCCTTCTTTCATGTGGCATTATTACAGAACGGTATTTTAAATATTATTTGTATATAAAGTAAATTATAACCATACAACAAACAAGTATTTAAGTTATACCTTATTTTCTTAAAGTTGTAAATATAAATAATACGTACAATTCTAATTATAATAATAATTATATATTATTATCATATTTAATTATACATCAAGGTTTTAAAAATACATATGAATTTTTCAGGATATAAAATGACAGTGGGACCACCTAGAGGAATTAAAGCGAACTTTTTAAAAGCATATATGAATCAAGTCCCTGATTTTCTTGAATAATTTAATTCATAGACAGCAAAGTTTCTAATTTTAAGGTTCTCCATATTATTTATATTAAGAAAAACAAGTATAAAATGTTTATCTGTTTATTAAATTTGTTATATGACTTCGAAACAAAGACATGTTATTTTCTCAGTTGACTTTATGAAGAAGCTATTTTATTTCATTTCTTCAGGTTTTAGGACTGTTGAATTATTAGTAACAAAACTTTTGTAATTTTCGTTGGCTCCTATTTTCACTATGCCTATTCCATGGTGTAGTTCTAGAAAGACGGAAGTTTGGGCTTCTTGGTTTTAATACAACATACGAATTCACAGACGGTGATCACATGTGTCTGACTGAATAACATGAAGTTCCATTGCGGGTTTGTTAATTAATTTTACCGTAAATTAATACCTTTAATTTTGAAAAAGACTGCTTTTTATTAACTAGTTAACATGGAAGAATCTATGGGTTTGTTATAATTAGTAGTAGATTAGTATGTAACTGCTATTGTTTGTAGTCTTGGGTCGTATGCTATTCTGGTAGAACAATAGGACTGACGTTGAGGTTCGTTACTAAGTCTCTAATTGAAATAGGGTTCACGAAAGCAATAACTTGCATTATGCTTATTAACATTATGGACAAGATTTAATTCGAATATTATTATAATACATAGGATACATTTTAAGATTTACATGCTTGTAATTGTTATTTTAAATCATTTTATTCAGATGTTAACGTATACAGCGGGTCATATTAACTATGGTGGACGAGTCACTGATGATTGGGATCGTCGGTGTCTGTTGTGTTTGTTGGCTGATTACTACACACCTGCTGTACTCAATGATAGATGGATATTCGATGAGAGTGGTGCTTATAAACAGGTATATAAATTCCTTATGTTGTATTATGACGAAGGTATTTTGTACTCTAAAATTTAGCAAAACTCATTATTAATATCATTAATTTCAACAATTAATAGGTTATCTTCATACTTCTAGATCGTAATATATTGTATAATTTGTTTGAAATTATAATTATTGTTTTAACAGCAACAATCTTCATCCACGATTGATGACTACACTCGTTATATACGCACCTTACCACTGAACGATGACCCGTCGTTATTCAGTTTGCACGCTAATGCCAACATCAGTTACGCTCTGCCTGAGACGAGCTCTTGTATAAGTATGTAAGTCATATGTAATTTTAAATATGAATATTACTAATGGATAGGCTGTTTAAATATATTTACTAAGTTTATGTATATAATATATAAATAAAGTTAATTTAATATATTTTTTGGCCGTTATTAGCAGTTCTCTTCAGTAAGTATATAAATCAAATGGCAATTAACAGTTCATTCTTTTACTAATATTTTATTTCTGCTCGTGACCTACAAAAGGCGCTTAAAGGTTTAGTTGTTATGTCGGAAGCCCTAGAAAGTATGTCCGGAAGTTTGGCTAAAAACACTGTTCCAAATATGTGGAGCGCTAAGGCGTATCCTTCGCTTAAACAACTTGGTATTGGACTTTTAATACCAAAAAAAACATGGCAAAAAATAGGCTGCATAATAAATTTAGAAAGGATTCATTTCTTATTTTTGTCTTTTTACCAGCGGCTTGGGTGAAAGATTTATGTCTCCGAGTACAATTAATGTAGCAGTGGGCTGATGGTGGGATTGTGTTTTGGATTTCTGGGTTCTACTTCCCCCAGGCATTTCTTACTGATGCATTACAAAACTATGCTAGAAAACATGTTATTGCAATTGATACCGTGGCTTACGCTTTTGAGGTAAGACAAAGAACGTAATAACGATAATGGTACAGTTTAAATTAAAAGAATTTTTATAAGTTTCCACAGTTTCGCTTGCTAATATATCATTAGTAATAGGAATTGGAAAAGAGAATAAAAACAAATTATTTTCATATAATTCTATAAGTAATTAATCCTCGGGATCCGAAACTCTCGCAGACCGCCCGAAACAGTCTCCGAAATCTTTATTCTAAATATATATTATTCAATGCCAAATCAGTTAAAAAATTTATACCAGAATAGATGTGAAAAAATATAAATGCATATTCTATTATAAACTAAGTTATATTTCCAGGCTCTTAACGCTCCGCCAGCGAAGAAACCAGATGATGGTTGCTGTGTCCGAGGCCTATTTTTAGAAGATGCTAGATTTAATACTGGTGATATGACATTAGAAGAAAGCAGGCCAAAGGAACTACATACCGGTTGGTATTTGAAAACTTCACTACTTTATCAGTAGTTCATGTTAATGAGGTGATAAAAACTAAAATATTTAAAATATTAAATTCCAGAATTGGCAATCATATATATGAAACCGGAACAAAATCATCGTCTAGCGCAAGGTTTATACGAATATCCGACATACAAGACACTCGTTAGAGCCGGGACACTCTCGACCACTGGACACTGGACCAACTATGTAATGACTATTGAACTGGCGACTCATAAGCCACAATCTCACAGGATAAAGCGTGGCGTCGCTTTGTTCTATGCTTTGGATTATTGAAGGATTTGGCATATGCCGACGTTTCGGCATATTGCACTATCCCTAATCACCCTAATCCGCAGTACTACCATTGGATAATTTCGATGAAATATTTTCCAAATAAACGAATTTTAAAATAATTTTTTCACGATTAGTACATAATTATTTAGTGTTCAATTTATTTCTAATTGTGAAAAAATCACCTTAAAAGTTAATTTAGTTAATATTTAACAGCTTAACAGCCTTAATTTCTTCTGATAATAATCTGCTTCCCATTGGAATTATCCAATGATAGTTGCGGGGATTCGCACTATCCCCGACGATATCATTTTTTCATCTTGACTTATTTAATCATCGTTTGATAATTTTGTTATTGTTACACTGTCTTTGATTATAATTATTTTATGTTACATAAGTTTTAATTAATTATGGAATAAAGTTTTCAAATTTATATTCTTTTTCTTTGTATTTAGATGAGTGAAGGATAAATATTTTTAGTTTCTTTCTTTTAATCGTCTCGAAAATTTTGTAGTTGGTGCTCCATTAAGATCTGTTTTTTATATGTAAATATATCATAGTATAACTATATAAACTAATAACACGGACACTACACATATAATATACAATACATAATTGAAATTAAAAGAAATTCTTTTATTTACTCTATATTACTGTCTAGGCTGTTGTACCTTAAAAATATTACTCAATACTTATTTACATTGATTTTGGAATACTGAGAAGTTTCATCTTATCAATATATATATTTTTTTTTGTTTCTTCTTTGTATCTTATTTAGCAAGTAACTATTTCTGAAAAGTCCGTGAGATGTCAATAAAGTACTTCTGACAGTAAGCTTTAAACAATCGGATTTTAATTACAGGGCTCCAGCGTAAAAATCTACGAACTAGAAATCTTATTTTTAACTTCATTTTCGTTAGAATC